AGAGATTGTTTTACTCCCGAATTTGTGAAAGACATGACCGCGTCTGAGCGAAAGAAGGCCCAATCAGCGATGATGTTACTTGCGGAAAAGCAATTCGAAAAGACAATTAAAGGTCGCCTAGTATACCAAGGCGATGGAACTCATGAATGGTTATCGCGAGAGGACACTGCAAGTCCAACTGCTTTGCAAGAAGCAATCACCACTACTTGTGTTATTGATGCAGATATAATGACGATGGAAGTGCCTAACGCTTTCATTCAAACTTATATGCCTGAAGCCAAGGAAAGAGAAGATCGTATCTACATGAAAATCACTGGCATGATGGTCCAGATATTGATTGACATGGCCCCAGAGTATTGTTATTTGGAGGCAAAGGGATTTGTTTTCAATCCGTATGACCCGTGTGTTGCTAAGAAAGTTGTTGATGAAAAGCAGCAAACTATCAGATTTCATGTTGACGATCTTATGTCAAGTCACATGGATCCGAAAGTAAATGACAAATTTGCTGAGATATGGTTTGATCAAGGCATGTACAATCGTCAGAGGAAAGATACACAGATATCTTGGAACAACTTTGGATTTCTTGATGAAAGGAAAACTCAAGATCCGCATGGATGACTATGTCAAAAACATGTTGGAAGATTTTCCTATCAAGTTCAAGAAGGATTCAAAGCAGGAAACACCAGCTGGTAACGATTTACTGGAGGCTGGTAAAGGAAAGTTACTCAATGCTGAGTACCGTCAAATCTTTCAAACTACTGTTACAAGGGGACTTTATGTCTCTAAGAGAGCTCGTTTGGATATCCATCCAACAATTACTATTCTTACCTTGAGAGTTTGAGAACCTACAGAGTCTGATTGGAAGAAGTGTGTTCGCATGATGCGATATTTGTTTTGTACATTGTTGTATCACCTGACACTTTCCGCAGAATCACTACGAATCATGAAATGGATGATCGACGCATCTTTTGCGGTGCATCCAGATTTCAAGAGCCATACTGGCGGCACTCTGTCCTTTGGAGGAGGTGCAGCTCAAGTGATGTCGAAGAAACAAAAATTAAACAGCAG